CTACTGCCCGCCGCTGTCCCATGCCATGTCGGGAGCTCTGCATGAGCCCTCCAAAGCTCCGAGGCTGCTGCAGGAGCTGGTGAGTCTCAGGGGGGTTTTTATATTTTTTTCTTAAAGGGCTGGAGATGGGGTGGGTGAGGCAACCATGGGGGGGCTGGGGGAATGGGGGGGGGGGTCAGGAGGCTTGTGGCAGAGCCCCCCATGCATTATGGGGCAGTGGGGATTGCCTCCCCCACCCAGCAGCACCTGATAAGTAGGGGCTTTTTGGTTTTTTTTAAGTCTGGAAGCTAGGGTGGGTGGGGCAGCAATGGAGGGGGCTGGGAGAGCAGGTGGGGCTTGGAGGATTGGGGGAGCAGGCAAGGGATGGGGCCTGGTGGGGGTCTTCCTATAGTCCCCATTACCCTCTTTCATTCCCCCTTCCCCACCCCCTACTTACCAGCTTGGAGTCCAGCTCCAGGTCCCTGCTGCAGCAGGCAGGGACTGCCCAAATCCCCAAAGCTCTCTGAATTTTTTTCTGAAGATTCAGAGAGCTTTGAATCAATTTGGATCTTTTTATTGGTCCCCTGATTAGATTCAGATTTGGAGATTCGGTCAAATCTCCTCTGAATCAAAATCAGCACCTGAAGCTTTGCACAGCCCTATCTGGTGAAACTCCAAAACCAGTTTGATAGGAAAAGTCAGAACATTTCTCTTAGCATAACGTGCACTGTTATTCTATACTGAGTTGCACTTTTCAGTCAATGCAACAAGGTTAATGCATGCGTGTAAAAGTACAAAAATGCATAAAACTTACTGAAATATCAATAGTAAACAAGCTCCTTTTGTAAGGTATAGTTTCTTCAGTCATCTGCACTGTTCAGTGTACCTTTGGAAAGACCAGACAGAGTATGTTTCCAGAGGTACCTGCATAGGACCTGGGAAATATATGTATATACACTAAGGGGTTGGGTCATATGGCACTATAGAAGCCAATCCTACAATGAACTATACGTTTACAGACCCTCAGACCTGCAGAGAGAGAATTAAAAGACTGAAGCTTAAAAGAGCTCAGTATGTTCTTGGGGTGTAGGTTGTAGCCATGTTGGTTTAAGGACATAGGCAGACAAGATTCTTTGGGTTAATCTGGTATCTTTTATTAGACCAACTTAAACCTGATGGAGAATTTTTAAACCGAAAAGCTTACTAAATTTCCCCCCCCCCCCCAACTGTTTAAGTCCATCTAAAAGATATCAGATTCAGCCAAAGAACCCTGTCTCTCAGTATGCTCTTGAAACTCAGTACTTTCTTGGCAAGAAAAGATTCCAATCTCAGATCAAATAAAAAGAGCCTAATACAGGTGATCAGGGAAACAGGGCATGTCTACATGAGGCAGCTTAAATGGGCAGTGGACTGTTCAGCTGTGCATGTCACAGCAAAAACTGCTAATGCACAGTAAAATTACTCTACCATGCATTAGTACAGCTACTAATGTACGGTTACCTAGTACCTCATATTAGAGGCACTAAACTTAATGCGCAGTAGCATGGATGCATTAATAAGTGTGTAGACAAGCCCACAAACTACAAAAAGCATAATGCAAACATAGCCCAAATATGAGTGCAAATAGACCATTCAAACATAGTGTGTTTATATATGTAGCCACCTTGAAAGCAGCTGATAAAAGTGACATTTGTAAATGCTGTGTTTCACAAAATGAGTATAAAGCAGTTGTTTGTGCCTTTTTCCTTTAAATCCTCAAACACTACAAATGGGTTATCTGCACCAGCTGAAAAGTCTTACAAAA